AACTATTGCAACGACCTGACACTATTACAATGAATTCTGTTCAATGACTGTCAGTTACAACATCAAACTGTTTTACTAAAGAGAAACCGCAGTGTGTCATCATTTTTGCGCCTATTAAAATGCAACAGGAATCCGCGAGAGGAATCGATTATCCAACACACACCGCATGTAAATCCAGCTTAAACCACGACCGAACGATGAGTCATGCCAAATTATTGAACCCCCAGCACGATTACGGAGTATGCAAGTTTCGATCGACGCCCACATCCGGCGTACATAAAAAAAGGAAAGAAATTCAAACCATTTCGTGGCCAAGTCGTAAACGTTTCATCGTGCCGCCTTTACGCGACACTTCTCCTCCCTCCCATGTTCTTATTTTTAGTTAGAATTCTGAGCAACGTTCTTTCAACATCATCTCATACATTAATTAACACCGACAGTTTTTGTCCTCCACGAGGGGAACAAAAATACCGTCATTTTACTGGAACGCGACTGATTCTGATCTCCATTGTATCTAAAAATATTATTACATGATGTAAGATTATGTATTGGCAAATGTGGGAGATGAGGATTTTGTAAAAGCCATGTCAAAAATAAGTGTTGAAATTTATGGTGTTTTATGTTTAGAAAATAGATTTTGAGAAGATAAATATTTGCCTGAGTGGTACTTAAACCCATAATTAATAATTCAAAAAAGAAATTAGGATTGGGGCAAAGATTTGTTAAGCTACCAATTAGAAGGTATTGCAAATTAGTTATTTTTCTCATATAGGAAATTTTCAAAAAATTGTTTACTTCCCAAAATACCACTTACAATTAAAAAATTAATAATTTTATAATGTACGTTAAATGGAACTTCCAAATATAATTTTATCAACAGTCTTCTCTTAGATATAACGAAAAATATAAAATTTCAAGGATTATGAACAAAATCCCTGAAGACTTTTAAAATGATCCGATAAAATTGATCAAAGCATCATCGATCCTGAGGAATCATATTTCCTGAGCATCATTTTCGTGCATCCTCGGATATTCCCCTTTCAACAGGGAAAACAAACTATCCTCGGTAGCTCGTTTCAGATTTTTAACCGGTCCTTCCTCTGCTCATAAATTTTAATCGAGTCGACGTCTCATCTGTTTTTTAAAGAATTACACTATCAGCCGGCTCTGGTGCACCTCCCCAGCTTCTGGCATTCCTCCATTTTCCATAACATTAAGCTCAATATTCCTTCCCCATTCGATTCACATTTTCCATTCTTCCTAATTTTTATAAATTTCCAAATCTTTTTGAATTGAAATAATCATAAAAAAAATGTTCTGTTATATATTTTCAGACAATATCTCATCAGTAGAAAAGGTACAAATTGCCTCGCACGCTTTTAATGGGACTTTTCCTGCTAAACTTCGCTCAGGGCAGAGTAGCTGAGAACTGGAGCGAGTTTCGTAAGTTTTAGGAAATATCTATAGAATAATGTTAGCAGATTTTAATGGAAGAAAGTCTTTACCATAACATGTAAAAGTTTCCAAGGTAAAACTCCTCTTAAAAGTTGAAATAAAAAGAAACAAGAAGCTGAAGAACTTTTCCTAACACCTAATAAAATGTGAAAAAGGTCGAGGGTCGAAAGAAGCAAATATTCAAAGGAAATGTGTACTGATCTTTGTGTTTGCGATCAAGACTAGAGAAGCACTGACTTAAAGCTTATGATTTAGTGGACGGTTTTATATTTGCAAATGAAAGAAGGTTAATTTATAAATTCTTCCACAAAAAATTATGAAATTCTATTCCTTATAAAAAATTGTTGTAAAAAATATGAATACATGTCAGAAATCTATCACGATAAATTTAATCAGTTATTAAGAAGAATATTAATTGTCTTTATGCTAAACTTCTGTAGTCAATTGGTAACTGTAAAATGACAGTAATGTATTCGACTGTATGCTAATCAATCAAACTCTCACAACTATAAATCAGTATCAATAATATTCCTACAAAGATCTATCTACTTCGTACATACACCGTTTCGTTGAACTGCCCAATTCCTGAATCTCATTGACATACTTCTTTCTCTTTTATTATAGAAACAATTTTAAAGAAAGATAAACGAAACACTAATGAATAAATATACGACTTTTGATTCCTTTCTAGACTTACACTTCTATTTTTCCATTAAATTCTTTCTATCTTACACAAACGTTACTCTTAGCCATAGAACGTGTAGACAAGAAGATTGCTCTACTTGTCTTGTCTTGTCTTGTCTGGTCTTGCTGGACAAACTGGACACTTAGAATTTTATTCATTTTGTTAAAGTATAGATAGCAAATTCTATTTTATTTCAAAAAGACTGAAAACTGAACATAGGATACAAAATACTATCAGTGGATGAAGTCAAAATTTAGAGAAAATATTTTCTAATATTAATATTTGAAGCAACTGTTTGCTGAAAATTGTCATTTTCTATCTCTAACAACGTCTCCAAATCTCACATAGAAGAAGATACTAAACTAAAATGATGTTCAAAATGAATGCTTTTGGTGAAGGCAAATTGTTTCTAACAACAATTAGGAACAAAAAGTTCCTCTATATTCCTTTACCAACTTCGTCCTTTTACGATATCCTTTATGAATTTACTGTTGCGATGGAATCTGCATGCTAATTTAATTCAACTTGTATTACAGTGCAAAAAGGAAAGTTTCAAAGTAACATTGTGCTTAGACAAGCACGATTACAACTATCGATTCAGATTGGAACAAAAAAGAAATTAATGTTTAGATAGCAATCGTGCCTGACCAATGGGGTACCATTGAATATTGACGATGTAGCCGGGCAAAAAGTAACCGTTCACCGTGGAAAGTGGAAGAAGCATGGCGGATACAAATGAGGCTATGGGGATGAGAGTTATCTCGCATCCTACGGGAGCTATTCGTCCCTTTCCACCTCGTTTTCCTATGTTATAACCCCGCACAGTCGGCCTGCCCTCTTTGCATCCGCCCCTGATAAGAGAGCCAACTGAATCTTCCGGACTTCCGGATAACGCTATGTTTCTTACGCTCGTGATCGTGGATTATCGATTTCGAATTGTCTTCGGGATTCAAGAAAGACGAATCGAGCACCTCTGCGAAGTAAGGGCGTATCTACTGAAATCGTATTTTCAGATATTTAAAGTTGAACTCTCCTTTCATTTATAAAGACGTAATATTAATGAAATGCCAACAAAATCATACTGTACATAATATGAAAATATAACAAAATCTTATAAAGGAGACAACAACTATTGTATATACCTAATATATAAAAGATAATAAGTTCTTTGAATTATTTCATCAGAGACAGCCTTAACACGACTAATCAGAATAATACGGAAGATAGGAAATAAGATGAGAGTCTGTATAAAAACGATTTGTTCGAATGAAATATCTGCTGAATCTGAGAATCGACTCTTTGGGTTATGAAATTCTTAAAAGCAGGAAATAAAGATATGCTGATGATCATAAACCCATTTCAAGATATTAGGGACTTTGTAACCGCGGCACCAAGAAGATTTTTATTAAAATCCTCCTTCAAGAATTCTCCCTCTCTGTCTCTTTTTAAACGCTGTTTCCGATATTACTTCACTAATGAAAAATAAAAAAAAAGGGGGGAGAATTATTCAGTGGCACGAAATTATAAGAATTTTATGTTTACATAGCGTAGCTTATTGTAGAAAGAACTGAATACCATTTAAAACTGTGTTCCTTTACATTCTTTTACTCTTCGTAATAAAAATTTTTATTAAACATTGTCCACGATCTCAGTAAAATTCTTATCATATTGCAGAAATGATTTGCATAACATCTGCTCAAGCTCAAAGAAACTTCCGCGTCTTATGATATCATAAAGAAATAAAATATTTGATAATGTATGAAACAAAAATGTTTCCATTAACTTTTTCGTACGCTTGCTCTCATAAAGTTTTGTACAATTTCTTTTATTACAGACATAAAAATTCTTGAAAAAATGGTGCAGTTTGAATTTATTATTAAAATAGCATGTTAAAGAAGGATATTACATTATCCATCTCATACTCGTCAAGTAAAATCGTAAAGTTTCAAGAAATAAGGAAAGTAGACGAGCATAACATGAGTTTACTGCTTGCACTAGTAACTCTGTGTTACAGTTTTACAGCCACTGTATATAAATGCTGTTTGAAATATTTTACATGCTATATATTCTTTTTACAATATTTTTCTAATTAATAATTTATATTTTCTGTTACGATTTCGATATGCCATTGCTATTAAAATTTTTAACTAAATATAGGCTCAGTTACAATGCTTGTAAAGAGGAAGGATTCTAACTTTACGTTAAATTCGCTTCGATCAGGTGGTTCATCGAAACCGACTGGACGATTCGTTTTTCCAAGGGATTTCCCTTAAATAAGAAAGAAGTCCACCCGTTTAAAAGGGATCGCCATGCTTTCCACATTGGACGGAGAAAAATTTATGCTATAACTGAATTCGAGAGGCCCATCAATACGCAAACAAAACGTTCATAGTTTAAATCCATTTCAACAATGTGCATTATGTATCAACGAGAAATTCTAAGTAGAAGTATTTCTTCGACAGTGTAAAAAAATTTGATTGTAAAATAATAGAAAATGAAAGAATTTCGACATCGAATAAAAAAAAGCAACTGAAACGAAAGCTATCTTTGAAGTAAAACTTGAAAAGTTTAAAATTCTCTTAGCTTATTACAAGCTTGTATTCGCAAGTCGTTCTGTAATGAAACGTTGCTCACGTAAAACGGATAACGTTGGAAGTTGGCGAAAAAAGATTGGTAAAATAAAACCTACTGAATATTCTCGAGGAGTCCTCGACCGGTGGAGGACCCTCCTGAGAATTTCGTAGCCTGGATCGTCATAGTAGACGACGTCTGGAAGGGTGGAAAGGGACAAATGGTCCTCGAATCTCTGAATCACTGGCGCACGAGTCGGCCCATTAACGTTGAATGAACTGACACTTACCTTTCTTCTCGCTGAAGAAGTCCGCGTTGACGCGCGTCACGTAGAACAGGATGAATATCAGCAATTGTGATCTGAAATTAAACGTTCCGTCATATTAATTACATTTATGAAGAAAATTAATCATAAATATTATTCGAATAAAATATTTTAGCTAAAAATAATGTTTTCTATATTAATTGTTGCATTTGATAAATTTTCAAAATACTTTGGTTCTTTAAATAGAAAATAAACGAAACTACATTTACAACTGTATTTCTCTTTTTGGACTACCTTTCAGGGTGTGCGTGTTAACAAGCCTCAGACAATACCACAGTTTAAACAAACTACCCATCCAGAAACTAGAGCAGTTTCCATGTTGCAACCGGAAACATTAACAGACCCTATAGAAGATGTTATAAAAAGAATCTATTTTGCGAAGTTAACAAAACATTATTTTTTGAAACTAACTAATCATTTTTTTGCCCACCCTCTGTTTAACTTTTTATCTCATACAACTGTTTTTATATGCAGTGAAATTGTTCGAAAATAGTGCAGTCACCCTGTATGTAGATATGTAAATACATCGCTTTTCCAACATCGAGTTAGAGGCGATTTCTCACGTGTCGGGGTTAGTGGAACAGGAGGAATTCACTTCAAAAGTGTGACACGCATTTGCATTTGTCGGCGAGAGGAGAACGTGGGCGTTTGCCAGCAACCGATGATCGTGAATCATGATCGAGAATTCTGCCCTTGCGTAACGCTTCGAACCTCCCACGTGTACGGTCGTGCCCGCGGATTTCGATTTCCGTTTGGCAAGGTCGTCGCACCCGTATATTATACCTTTGATGGAACTAGATTGAACTAAGCGACATTCTGAACAGCTTATAAAACGGCTATTTCAGAGAAAAATTACTTATCCCATTATTTTTCTTTACCGACACATTACATTCAGTTGAGATGTCCAAACATTAGTCGAAAAATCATTTATCAATAAAATAATTAGGTACATATACAGAAATCATGAATTAAATGAACAAAATGCAAGAAAGAATAATAAATGAATAAAATTTGAATTCCTTGTTAACGAACCTAACTACGATAACTTAAAGTATAAAAGCCATCATTGTTGGCGATATTGTCGACGAATGACGACACTCTATTAACCCAGTGGCCTAAGAAACGATCTAAAGCGGAACTAAAAGAACAGAAAAACCTCGAATGAGATCCAGAGACACGTGTACAGGGTGGCGGTGGAATAATTAAGACAGGAAGTCGAGTGGCGACGTCGACGACGGCGCTGAAGAGGTGCTCGTTAATGAAGCGATGTACCAGAGAAGCTAAAGAACCGAGGAAGCTAGTTCTGACTATTCTTTGACCAGAAATGACAATAGATAATGCCAATTTCACGTTCTAACTACTTGTCAAAGGCGAGGAACTTCTGCCCTTATAGTGAATTAAAAATTAATTTTGTGTGAAAAATAATAATTCAAGCAAGTTTTGATAAAACCAGCATAGACAAAATATGCGTACTAGAGATGAGAAGTCAACAAAAGGAGGTACATTGAATTAATTCCAGTATAAATCGCTTTACACAATCATTATAATCGTAGAGATCATAAATTCGTAGACATCTAGAGACATCTGACACTTCGTACGACTATCATTTTGCGAAATGTTCGGCGTCGTATATTCTTTTTTTCTTGACGTACCACCATTAACTCCCCCTTGTATCCTGTCGAATTTCCCCCGCTGCTTTAATTAACAGCATCGTATATCATCGTATACACGGAAGGGAACGATGGTGGTTTGTATTTCATCGAGTTTTTGCGATCAGTGACACGTGGACTGCGGAATCTCGAGGACCCGCAAGGAAGTGACGAATGGTAGAAAATAAAGAAACAAATTTATTCCTGTACCAAAAGCGAGCACTCGAGTCACAGACCTCTCTGGGATTACGACCAGACAGAAGTAAGTCTCCGAGAAACAGCTTGTATATTTAATTGAACGTCTTCATTTTTAACATTCGATGCGGAGAAAGAATTTAAAAGAAGAATTTCATTTTCAGCAACCACTTCAGGAAATTTCTTCAAAAAAAGAGGGAAATATTTTCATTGCTTACGGGGTCACTAGAGCAACTAAGAATCTCCTGCACTAATACTCTTCAACTTTTATTTTGTAACAAATCAATTTTAAAAGGGTCACTCCGCTTAAAAGAACTTTTTCAATGAAAGAACAAAATTCGTAAAATGAAAAATAAAAAGAGGAAGAAGCAACGACGTGAATGCTGCTCACGAAAGAAATTTTAAGATCTTCTTGAACGTGGAAGCGAGGAGTTTCGAAATTACAGGAAGGGAAGTCGCAATTTTGTTGGATTCATCGGTAGGAAATGAACACGAAAGCTTAATCTCGATGGACAGTTTCGTAAGGACGATAATTCAACGACGGTCACGAAACAGCATCAGGCAGAGCTTTAAGCCACCGCTGGCACATTGCTATCTATAAACTGACGTTTAGGGCCACGTGCCTCCAGCGATTCACGGTTAAAATCATCTTAACGATCACAGAACGTCGCTCATAAAGATTCATGACAGAAATGACCCACGTGTATTGACGAATGAACGAGCGTGTACCTTGGCTCGTAAAGAACGTCTGACTGTCTCGCGAAGGATAAATCATGAATCTGGCACATGGAAATACGTCGTGGTATTATTGAACGTGTTATGTGACGTATAGGTCACCAATTTTTGAATAAGCAACAAGAGGCTTAATCTTGAAATAAAACAGGAGAAGAGCGAAATTATGTGGTATGACTGCAATTTTCTATAATTAACCCTTTCGGTACGAGGAATTTATATATGTACAGTCTGGAGCAAAGTGGGCTTCCTATGAGAAAATAGCGATAAAATAAATTTAATATACTCAAATAATTATAAAAATGAAGAACTGTAATGTAACATATCAAATCGAAAGTTTAAATTGAAAAATTCTAATAAAATCCAATATATTTTTTATTTTTGACAATCTAAATTATTATATTATCAAGTTGTTAGAATAAAATAACTTTGTAATAAAATATTAGACAATTCATATATGGGAGAAATAAGAATTAAAATATCTTTCTGAAACGTATGTAAAAGAGACGCTTTTAATTGCCATTGCACTGCGCGTGTTCTTTCATGAATCTCCATTCATTAACGCCGGCTACGGGTGTATGACGATAATCCAAATATAGGAAGGAAGAGGAACATCGACTCGGTTCATCGATCGAAGCTTGTTGCTCCAAATTCAGGCAGAACGGAGCCGTGAGCGAGTTACGCGTTACGTCTGACAACGAGCAAGGGAAAACTGCCAACTATTCGAGCGAAGAATTATCATTCCCTTTTCCTTACTTCATACCAACTGTGCCAGCCAACCCTCCCAGTTACGACACGGTGTTACACTCTAAAATTAGCCGGTGCTCGCTGGAGAAATGTGATTGAGAATTTATAGCGTGTAACGCGCTTGTCATTTTTTTATTCCGCTCGAAGAATGTTAAGCACTCGAGGTGTTATGCATTTCTTGTAGCCATTAGATTATAGATATGCTCTCTTTTTTCATATTTAATTTACAGACCGGATTCAGATTTTTGGAGCCTGGGGTTGATAAATATTTTCTAACTAAACTAATCAAATATTACACTATCAATAAACTGGGTGTACTACGTGTTTAATTAAATATTACTTTAAAGGAAAAAAACAAAAACCCTACCGACTAAAAGCTTTTTGTTTAACAGCACCTACGTTTTAACCAGAACCCTGTGAAGTTATTTTTTCCTATTAGACACGTATATGCAGTCTCATTATCTCATTACGGAAGCAGCGAGAGTCAACCGAGTTCGCCAAGCAGAAAAAGGCAAAGAGAAGAAAATTCTATCACATTAAGGTACTTTAATTTTGTAGTAATTACCTTCTCTGCTCATTATAAGATGTTTTAAAGCTTGTACAATCAGCTGAGTTTTTCATAAAGGGATCGCATGATCGTTCACTTTGTTTCAATTTTAATATAAATTAAAAAAACAATTTTCTTTTTTAGTACTTAAAATAAGTAAAATAATTCTGTTTTATTATGAAATCCATAATAAAATTAATTTTCTTTATAATCAAGTGAAGTTTCAATAAAACCCACGACTAATGAAAAACTGGCTGTTCAAAAGCAATAATTAATAAATTTGCCAAAGGAAACGTCAGTATGTAAATATAATAATTGTGCCTTACATTATCATCTTTATAATACCGCGAACAACATTGCACGCTAAACGAAACAACCGTTACTTCTCACAGATATTTCCATTTTAACAGAATTTTAATTAAATTCCATATTAATTCGACCATTAAACAGCATTATCGCTTTACTGGCTACAGAAGCTTTTACGAATAGAAATCTCTGATGATAATAAAATTTCCATAAGAAGTATCGCGTGACAGGAACAACGTGGAACGAAGGAAAAGGCATTTCAGTTGAATGAAGAAATCATTCTTCGATTAGCGATGAAAAATGACAAGTGTGTTACTGTTAATAACCACCTTCACTTTCAAAGCTACGGTTTGCAATAAATGCCACGTTAGCAGCTCTATTTGTGATCACCCAGACAGTGTTATGGGTTATTGCGATCCAAGCAACATCGTTTTCCTCGATTGCACACTTTCAACTTAATTTATCGTGGCACGCGAAGTGGTTACATGTTCCTTAGTGAGAAAAACCGTGAGTTACTTTTATTTCACACGTTTATGATATCAAAATTTATGATATGTGATCTCGTTGAAAAGATAGTCATTGCTACCACTATTACATAGACGGCAATATTAAAAAATTAAAAATAAAACTTGACACAATGACTGCCAACTAATTTGTTCTGTTTTGAAAAATTTTAAATAAAATTTGGCTAATTAAATTTTCTGATAAGAAGATAATTTTATAGCCATTTCTCTCAAAAGGTCAAGATAAAAAGAACTAAAAATATTTTTACTGTAGGATGAATAATAAAAACGATCCTACATGAAACATTTATACGGAAAGTGTTTCCTGGTAAAAGTAACATCATCAATTAAAGGGTAAAAGTGTTTGTATGTTTAATATTTCATGCATTCATTTTCATCGATATGTTCATTCCAGTTTCTGTTTAATGATCATCATTAACTAAAACCTCCATTTAACACAATTATTTACCCATTGCAATTTAAAATCAACGTGGTGTAATAATAAAATAAAACAACAAAATACATATTGATATTACTGAAGTTTGGATAAAATTTTTTATTCCTAAGTACAATTCCTTTGATTAAAATAGTGAATTCAGGCATATATTCTTGATTAATTATGTTCTTATAGATCCAGTTATTCTTGAAAAATTTTATTTCACCGATTAGATGATTCTAATTCAACAAGTATGGCAAGAGGATGAGATATCTGGGTCAATTTTAATTGGAATAAAACTTTAATTTCAAAGGGTGCTCGATAGGTTGAATTTAACGTGGTGTCCGCTCGAGAAATTTGCAGTGTGAACTAATTGGAAATTCATATAAGCAAACCTCAAAATGCATTCTGATCAAGGGTATTGAAACTTGATCGAATATCCGATTTTGTGATACTTTTCTGTTATGAAATTCTATTAATAATTAGCCACCCTAATAGGGTATGTCTCATTCTTAATAACAACTGTTCGATTGTAACTAATAATCAGTCATTTTGTATTAAAAATATTGATGACACGTTTAAGTAATGAAATACTTTTATATCAGACTTTCTATGTTCCAAAATCAACCCTTTGATATACAACCCAATAAAATTATGCGAACTACACCGTTACAAAACATGCTATCAGCAGCCTTCACTTTTTCATAAAAATGTTCATATAGAAGAAAAATGAAATGAATTCATTAAACAAAACGAGTCCCTTAAAGTACATGAAATGAGCTCCATAAAATTTCTCATTAACCCCCGTGTGACGTCGGCCCTTTCCAAGCCGTGCAATATTATTCAAACGCGAATTTACAGGAATGTCCAAGAGGAGTGGTTGGATACGAAGTACCCATCATTTGAAGATAACGAGCAGCCGAGAAACGGGTGTAGGGAAGCCACGAAATTCCTGAGCGAAACGAATCCTCCGCGGGGCTGAAAATGGATCAGGCGGCCATTTGCCGGCGGGAAACGAAGGAGCTACGCGGTGAAACGACACGTCCGTAGATTTTATCTACGATTCCATGTAGAACAACACGCGCAACACGGTATTCCGCGTTGCTCTTACGAGCTTTCTGTTAAAGCTGCCGCGGCACACGTGCGCCGAATGCGAGCGGACTCGTAAATACACTCCGCGCGGATTAACACGCGGCCGTCACGTGGCACGTGTGTTTCACCCTTTCCACGTCCACTCGTTGTTACCATCCCCCCTTTCACTGTCTTCCACCTCTGTTCGACACGCTCGGAGGGTGGCCAGAGATGGAAAGAACCCAGAAAAAAAGAGCAACCACCACTGAGTTATGTCGCTTGACCGAAAACACGGCAAGTGCGAACGTCACCTTTGCTCTTCGCCCTGCAGGATTAATATCGCACCGAGTAATGCACCCCCCACACCCGTGATGCTGGCTGTCGCTGCTTTTTATCGACCGGATACAGAGCTGTGTTTGTTGTGCATCTTGTACATAGTGTATTGACCTGGGTACATTTTCGCTCGAAGACGATGAGTTGTTACTTTTAGTGGGTTCTTGATAAGGAGGTTAAGGTCAGTTTCGAGGAGGTTTGGTTAGTAGTTGGACTTGCAGGTATTTTCTGGTGAGGATGTTTTATTAAAATTGTTTGCGAATAATAGTTTGTATAAGTTTGAATAAGTGGGGAGAAAATGTTAGCTATGATGATGTGCCATTTAATATGGTTCTCTTCTTAGCATACAATAGGCTGAGATCAAAGTTATTTTCAACAAACTTTATGCTTCAAATGCATATAGAATGAGTGTTAATTTATGATACTTTTATGTCATCAAATTAAGTCTCTATTAGTTCTCTAAACAGGATTATCTAATAGAGCAATATGAAACAATTAATGACATACAATAGCACCAAACACCATAAGCACCTGATGGAAAGCAATTTCGAGATCAACGAACAGAACAAAGAAAGCATTTCGTTGCTTTCATTCATCGTGGCGCGTAAATACAGGGCAAGTTACGCCTGTGCACCCGATTTTCCAGCAGACATACGAGCGTCAATTTCTCACGGGCTAAAACCTCGTTACCAACCCTACCTCCAACTTAGTGGAACAGTTCTTGCACCTGTAACATGCGTCACTGCAATTGCACTCTAAGAAACCACTTTCCGAGACATTGCACCTTCCCATCCGCTATCCACAGCGAGAAAATGTAAAAAATGCGAAATGAAGCGGACCCTTCGATCCCCCGACCGAGTTACAGATTTATCTATCCCTCCTTCACCCCCTTCGGCTTTTCAATCCGATCGAAATTGTCAAAATTGATATTTTATAAGTATAGATTTGATATCGACTTTGTATAATTAGAAATACAGTGGTCCTCATTAATATTCAGACCTATCTACAATCGCTCACTAATGCTAATATAGTTATCTTCCTTTACTCTAAATTTGATATCTTATCAGCGATAAACAAAAAATTCTAATTTTCTCATTAAAAATGATATCATTCAAATACATATTATAGAACATTATAAAAAAAAAATAATATAGTCTTGTTACAAAAGTACGGAGGATTCTAAGATTAGCTCAAAATTAAAAATAAATAAATGAACTGTAAAATAGTTTGTTATGCAAAATTGGAAAAAAACCATTAATGTATATAGAATTGATAAAACGTTGATTATGAATGTACCTTAAATGGAGGCCACAATGGTATATGATCTATGAATTAGTTTATGATAATTCATAGACTACCTTTGACATTAATAACATATCTAAGTCGAAGTTCTTAACTATACATATACATGCGTACTATAACCTCCACGCAAAGTACGTTCACCTTCAATGTTATACCAATTGAGTATACTTTGTTAAATATTTTTCTAATTTCACGCATACGTTCACAAGATTCCAATTGGAATGAAATATTACCTGTCGAATAAAGGTTAACTCCGTCTCCATAAGAATTAAGTAGGGTAGAACGAACACAGAGAAAAACAATAAACGGAACAAGAGACCGGCTAAACGGTATGTTTACACTCGGATAACTAAACGAAAGACCTTTGATGTGTGTTCGACTTACCTAGGCCGCATGTTGAGTCATTCCATTTAACTGGGCAGGTGGTCAAGCTATCCCTCTAAACCGTTCAACCTCTTCTCAGTAGAGCGTGGAAAACAATGATACAAACGTTCACTCACAAGCACCCAACCTCCACTGTCCACTGGACAATTTAAATCGACCGATCGAACGGATTGAAGTTCGATGCGAATAAGTCGATACACTCGATAACCGTTCAAAGGGGTCGACAGTGGCGCCAATTTCCAAGGTCGCTCCTGGGAGCAAGGTCAACGTACTTCCGGCTACGATCGGCACCAAGATCTCCCCTCGATCACTGGGTGCTATTCTTAATCTTTCGACAAGATGAGTGTTCACACTGTTTCCACTGTTCACAATGACTCTCCACTGACAAGACCAATCGGCTCCACGGTCCACCACTTACTGACAACTGTCCCTTCGTGACACTTGCCGCTTCCTTCTCGATTTTTCTCCCTCCTAACCTCCTCCTACTCCGCAGCTGCCGGCTCGACGTCGTACTAGACGTCGTAACGCTGATCTAGTCTCTCCCTCTCGCTCCTCCTTTCATTTGCCACTGTTTTCCCTTTTTTCCTACCGTCGCGTTGTTTGGGGAAGTAATTTTGAACCAGCGAGATTTAAAATGAAGTTTGATCGAAAGCCGAGGACGACGATCAACGATGGATTAATTTAGTTGAAACGGTGCGATCGGTGGTCACGATTAAACCGAGTGACACACTGTCCTGCGTGTCTTTAAACCAACGACGAAAAGCCGATGGCGGCCGATTCAAATTCGCTCCCCACGTGGCGGCGACGGCGTCGTCCTTGCGACTGCCACCGGCACGACGCTTGACGCCGGCCAATGCGTCGCCATCTTCCGTCCGCCGGCTAAATCTGTTTTAGTGAACCTGCCGCCGAGATGAAATTGCACCCGATGATTATTTTCTTTCTTTCCTCTTTTATTTTGTTATGCAATTTTCCAGACTACCTTTGGGACGGCTAAAAAGATCGCACTCGACGGTTAACTACGGAAGTAATAACACGTTGCTATCAACATTTATTAAGGAAAAATAAGTTTTTTGTTACAGATATTTCGAAGTTCAGTGATTATAATAATAAGTATGGAAAAATGAATGTCTTCAGTATTGTAATAATCAGTTTCTTTTTTTGGAGATTGTAAAAGTTTGAAAAATTTAACGATGAAATTTTAAAAAGGAACTTTTCAATTCACTCTAACTGCAGTAATCAATTTTCTAGAGCAATAGCAATAAAGAAATCGCGCTTGATTTATAAATAACATTGACCTGCTCCTTTTACCACGCTTCGATCACTGTATTCCACACACGAATTAAATCTATCTGACAGCCATACATCATATACGCTGAAATGGAGAACACTGATAACAGAAAGAAACTGACAATCAAAAGAGCACTGTCATATATTTCTGTACACACTTATGAACAATACATCAACTTGTCGCTGAAATTCGTTTTTAAATTTTAGTAAAGCAATCCTTTTTTGCTCCAAATTCTAGACCTTATCAGTAACGAATGAAAAATTCAATTCTTTCACTTTCTATCAAACTTTAAAAATAAAGGTTTGTTCAGTTTAATTGGTGTTAATGAATTCATGAACTCGTTAGAAGAGGGGAAGTGGGTTCCTAAAACAGGATGCGGTAGGTTTGGTCCGATAGTAAAACAACCTTCCTCTTTTCCGCTCATTATACATACTGCTTTAATCAGAATTCTATACGGAGAATTCATCATCTCGACTACTCTTGCTTTTCTATTTTTACCAATCCGTTCATAAAATTATTCATTCCCGTAACGAGAAGATAAAGTTCCACGATCGAATTACGTCAATGCGTTTCTTGATGACTCCTTTCTATGTAAAGGCTGATGTAATGGCTACCAGCAGCTGCCGAATGCCTGCAATTATTTTTAAATGTGATCCCATGAATGTCAAGTATTACAGGGCAGTTTGAATCATTTTTCTGAAGTAATTGTAACAAGCTTTTAATAGCTCCTGATTACTGCAATGATATTATTGAATATAAAGAATTATCTAAAAGTCAATAATTAAGAAATTTTAAAGAAATTTAATTTACTTCCATTCAATAAATTTAATTTTTATTGGATTTTTATAAAAGTTTAAATTTAGAAAAATCATTTCTTCAAATGACTGTATATTCATTGGATAGTAATGATAGTAATGAGAGCTGTCACTGAATGAAAAAAGAAACATTACTTTCACGATTGATTCAGCACAAACTAAACCGTCAGCCGTGATTAAAATGTTTTATCGTTCAGCGATTGCATCAACGGGACAATCAGACTTGATGAAAAACCTTTGTTTCTTTATTTAGGCGAACGACAATGTCAATCTGGTTCTGTGAAAATCCCGTGAAAGCTTTCGTAGACGATGCCCATTTCCAAACAATAAGTCTTCATTACAGTTCGTTATTTCTGAAGCAGAAAAGCTTAATGAATCAAGCGAAGATGTTTTTGTCCAATTGTAACTTTCCAACGAACATTTGACTGAACTATTTTTTGTAAATAAGTGTTCTTTCAAGTGTATTTGATTTAGCTTCTTTTTAAATAGAAAACCAGCTAAAAGCAATTTTCAAAATTTTTATAGAACAAAATTTCAGAAATTTCTCAATGGAATTCTTCATCTCTCTCACGATATGTCTGTCTACCAACGATCGATCGTAGGCAACAACACCCAGAGGTTTATTAATAACAGCGTGCACGGTGTGCCAACTGAATAATCGAGCATTATATGTAGACGCGGCAATGTAGTTACGAGCAGATGGTTATTGTTTGGTGTCGCGATTGAAGGTCTTAATGAACGTATCGAGCCAGCTTCTATCGGGGTGGACAGCAATTGCTGCAACATCTAATTACACGTCGCTTGCAATACTTCCCGGACTGTTTATTTAAAACCTTTGACACGTTCCTTTATCGAACAAGTGGAATTATTTTGGCCGAATAAATTCGGAGGTATCATCGATTCACCGATGTATAATTTATGGTGTCAACCCGTTCAGACATTGATGACGTAGCCTGAGAGAAATTCTTTTTCAAGTCTTTGCACGCAGGCATCGATGTTTGAATGGATTCATGAATCGAGTTCTGAGTATTGTTTTCGAGCTCTTCGTTGCCTTCTTTCTATTTCTTTTTGTGTACTTGCTTCTTCAAACATGCAGTGTTTCGATTATAGATGAATCTAATATTTCATTGGCGTGATGTGAGCGTAAATCTAATTATTAAAATGTTTGTGACAACGAAAAGCAACAATATGATGGAATTTGGCAATTGTAAATTAATATTCCGTCCAAAACCCGTTCTCCTGCGAAACGAATCGAAATTCAGCTGCTGTTTCACCAAAAATTTACACCGCGTTAAGCTTACATCGCGTGAAGGAAGTTAAACGAGTTGAATAAACTCCATTATAGTAACGAACGTGAATTGCCACGAGTCACCGCCATTAACATCTCGTTCTACGACAACCGCGTTCTCTGTATTTAACAGATTACTAGTAAATGAAGAAAAACGAGGTAACCGAGCTGAAACAGCCCGGCATGTCGCGTCGCTGTCCTTGCCTAAACTTGACACTCGTTAATTAACAATTCTCTGTGACACGCCTTCTCCCTACGTTCGTCTCTTTAAAGACATATTTAAATATCAACTGAATTTTGACGATACGCGTGCTATTTCCTATGTCGAATAAAATATTTGTTTATAAATGTTTTGGCCACAGTGAGATGAAACAAAAATTAATTAGAATTCTAATCTAAATGTTAAAGCCTACATGTTATGCAGTTCCAATAATTTCTAATATCTAAAATGATATATTTATTGATCTAAGTGAATTAACTATAGCACTGAACACCATAATTCAAAGAAAAACATCATCAAGTATATGTGCCGCGATTACAAATTGCACTTAATGCATTTCCATATCTGACACGCCTTCAAGGTTGCTATTTGAATCGCCGGCCGGCTGGCTGGCATCTGGATTCTGATTAGAGAATACCTTACGTATGATTTTCTTATTTTTACTCATCCTTCATACGGTTCATTACGCCAATTCGAGAAAGTACTGGCATACTCTGTTTCCTTGCAATCATTTTATTTAAAAGAAGAATATACCACATTGCCAGTGCCAGCGTTAGGGAGAGGACGCGGTCGGGTAATTGTCCAGGACGCTAGATCTGTAGGGGGCACCGCAACCCAGTGTGCCTATTCTCGTATGCGTTTATTCATTTATATCCGTTTAGATTAGTAAAACTGCTATGTAGTTTAACAATTTTTATAATCTAACTACAGATTCATTGTTTCATATTATTACCTTGTCTTTTTTTCTTAAAAATGTTGAGCCCCTGAATGGGCGTCACGATAATCTTGCCCAGGGCGCCAATATTGCTAAAACCGGCACTGCTCATTGCATTGAATTTATCAGAACAACTATAAAATGCATACATATCATTGCACTTGTTAAATGCATATGTTCCTGAAAATATAGTTTTCTTTGTTGTACCATTTACATTTTTCTATAACTTTTTTTTTTAATTGCAATCAAAGATCCAGTTATATGTACCACCTTGTATATCACGCCGGATTACCCTGCTTATTAAAGTGACACGAGATACATTTTATAACATTATTTAGTCATTATCACAATGACACTGGGTGTGCCAATTTTTTCTGATTCATTATCGATACCAAAATAAACTAATGTAAATGATCAAGCAGCCGGTTAATTAAGTCAAGTGAAAACCCGTTTTGCAACCGAGACTACTTCCGTCGTAAATGTTTCATGCCCGAGTGAAATTTATCTTTCTATAGAATCGCAAGTTTCCATTTGATTTTCTACTGGTGAGTTTAATTTGATTCGATAGATAGAAAGTTAATGCTTATTGCAAGTTTTAAATCGAATTTACCGATAATGGTCTATCTGATGTTTCTTTCGACAGAAAAATAGGTTATGGTAGGTTATGTATGTAGGTTATGCGTTCGATGTTATCGCTCGTTTTTCTTTTATTGGTATATTTCTTATTCTCCTGTTGAAGGATTTAATGGAGCTGCGAAGAGATTGTAGGAGCGTTTACTCTAAGCACGGATAAACGACAATTACTTGTAAGTAATTACCGCTAAATGCTAAATTGCAGTTGTTTGTTTGCTGCATTCAGGAATATAATAGCGAAGGGGATCTTAAATTAATGGGCAAGCATTGTGCATTGAAGCAAGCTTTAGCCATCCATTGAATTCCAATTCTTTTTAAATCTACCTGTATCAAATCGTATTATAAGAATTCTGTTTTCTGGTAGCAACATATTGTGATTGTTAAGGATTGAACAAAAGTGAGCAATGAGTTCGTCTAGACCCAATTTCGTTACCGATTGTATCAAATAAAAAGATGAGGTTCGATATAAATTATCAGTAGATACAATTGAGGGCGTTCTGTACTATATAATACAATAAATAACTGTTGGAACTAAGAATTAATTAAACAAGTTTTAATTTAGCACTGTTCATTAGTAAATATTATTCCAGATTACTCCAAAAACAGACTAATAATAGCAATACTAATTATTTATTTATTTTCAAGTTTCAAGTTGATATGTCATAAGTGTTACTTGCTCGATAATTCGCCACTTCAAAGGCTCTAGAGGTGGACCCTTTTAAGAATTATCGTGCATCTACTGTATTTTCTTTGATACTCAAAAATTTAGTACTTCTGAATAGGTATGAAACAGGGCGATAACAAAAGGGTAGACAGCGCAACGCCTGTTACGTCTGCACCAAATATTAATTAATTCGAACTTTGTTAATACCAACGTGTGATCCTTTGTTCTATTAATCGCCACGCTGCTGTATAACAGCGTTATTCAAAATTTTATACACCCTCCCCCGAAATCGCGACATCGTTGATGGACGTTCGTGGTTCACCGATCACCCTGAACGGGTGTCCACAGCACGCGTAGGTCGCCTCTGTTCCGCGGCAATTTAACGAAAGGACGCGCAAAGCCGCGTGCGTTTGACAATATTTCAGCGTAGCACGCGTAGCACGCGTGGCCGTGAATATTGCAGGTGCATTCAAGGTCGCAAATGACCGGATGGCCCTACGCTATTCACGAAAGGAACGACTCGTTTCGCGAGGGTGGCTCGATGTTAATTGAAATCCTAAAACGAATGAGCGGCGAATGTCGGCTGGAAGGGCGATCACCTCAGAAGGGGTCACCCGTGTCTTGCTCTTTCCCTCTGTTCTAGCTGGTAATTCCGCGCTACGACGAGCGAACCGGGAAAACGTTTGTCGCTTCGCCTGAATGCCAGCTGAATAACGGCAAAACGTCGCTCGCAGAGATGAGAATTTCCGTTTGCGGAGGAGGAGTCACGAGGAAATTCGGATCCTCTGATAGCGGTGAAGCCAGAGAGCCACGCGTGCGCGTCAAGTGTCTTTCGAATGCTATTTCAACCGGGAATTGGAAGTGCAATGGGAAATTTTGTTTCCTGATTCAATGGTTCGCAATTGTAGGATTCTATTTTGTTTTTCGCGCGTTCTATAAACCATTTTAATCGACGCACCTCATATTGACATTGATTGGGCGCGAATTCTATTGAGCAGAATACAGTGATAGAACAAAACCAGCATTCTGGGGATGATTGTACAAGCCTCCGTTTAGAAAAATAGTGACAACTACGATTTCGTTTATTATTCACTCGCGAAAGATGCCATTAAGGTAAAACAGACCACAAATTTAGTTCCTCATTTTTTCTGTAGGGCGCAGTTCATTCGTTTTTTGCATTCGATCGCGCGATCATTCGCAGCTCCGACTCTTGCATCGGATATTAAAATATATTAAATTGTGTATTAGGTATCAAAGATACGAAAAACAGAAGACAAAGTTGAAGAGAAGACCGGAGTCATGATTTCTGACATCATTTCCACATTGTCATCAGAAATGCGTAAGCTGAAAATTTATAACCTATTTTGCCGATATAGATATGAATTAAAATAACATATTTCTCATTTATTCTGCTTTTATGATGATAATTTATTAAATACCATTGATATCTTATGCATTTTTCTATCTTCTTTCCTATATCTCGGTGCTTTAAATTGAAAAAAGTAATCTTAACCTTATTTCAATATGGCGTTGATAATTTTCAACGCATCTTTTCGTTCTTTTAATGTTAAAGTTTCCAAACAATTCGAAGTTTCTATCAATGCCTATGATTGGTCATTCCATTATGGCGTCCTCTCATTTCGACCAATCAGATTCATCGTTGTAGGGTTAGGAGCGTGAAGTGTGGTGCAGTGCATCAGTCCTCTCCGAAACTTCGTTCGTCTTTCACGTGTTTGCAACAGGTAAGATTAAATTACCTTCAAATATTAAATTAAATTGACAATCGGGTGTTAAGAGTACAAAAAGCAGAAAGAAGTATCGAAGAGAATTCTAGATTTTTGATCTTTGACATTAATTCGGTGTTTTCTTCCTAAATACGTGAGTTGAAAATTTTTGCTCTTGACAATGAGAGTGAAACAGGAGAATCTGGATTATTTTGTCTTTTATACATATTGTTAAGTTCCTAAACATTATTGAATGTTTTTAGTACTGATTTACACAATTAGCCATTTTTAATTTAATAATGTTCTTTCTTGAGCATCGTAACACATATTATTCCTGTTTAGACCTGTTCGTGTACTTGCTTAGGTATCGGCCGATAGCGGAATATACCGAAGAATGCCGAAGCGGTGCCGATCAGTCTTCGTCGGGAAGGAAGGTCTCGCCATTTCTCTCGCGAACGTCGAAGTGACCAGACGTATTGAGAGCATCTCTCCTCATAAGTAGGTACGCATGGTACTTTATTAATAATAACTTTATTATTGTTGATTAAATTTTATTTATATAAATTCGTATTTCTTATTTGTTACAGGTATTTGATGGATATTGAAGAGACACCTGATATAGGTTTGAAATAGAATTTCGTAAGAATTTATTGTTTTAATTTATTGTAATGAATTGTTAACATTTATTATTACTTATTTTTATTAAGTCGTTAATTGTTACCATTTTTGATAATTAATTATTGGTACCAAGGTCAAGGAAGGAAAGATTAGAGGAATGTTTTTTTTCTTTGATCAATTCATAGAAAAAGGATAATTAATTTTTCATTTGATTGAATAATTTTAACTAGTAATTTCATGCATCTGTTGTTACAACAAAATTGAAACAGTTTGTATTCTACTGCAGATAATTGCTTCTTTTTAGCAATTATTTAATTATATTTTGATTATTTTAAACAGTCTGTTTTCCTTAAATCGTAGTAATTGTATTATAATTTACAGCTTTCAATGCAAATTTAAATTGAAATAGAATCACGTTAATAAATCACATGCTGTTTAAGCATAATTAATTTTCGGACTTCATTTATTGAAAAGAATTTAGATAATTTATAAATCATGACGGAATAAAATTTTCAACAATTTTTGATATGCTTACAATTTTAACAACGTAAATCCTCTACTTTAATAGAATAGTCTGTTATCTTTATTACAAAATGATTTTCTATCGATGTAATATTCATTGAAATAATTATCAACAATTATTTAAAACATTTCATTTCAATCTAGGATCAATATTCAGCTTTAACAATATTTGTGCTCGTCGAATATATTTCACGAACATAGATATTTTCATTTACAAGCCATTAATAACAGTATTTTCGTTACGAATGCTCAATAAGAAGAATGTTGTGTTGTATATTTCCACCCAACCCATCCCTGCTCACCAAGTTTTTCTTTCAGGAATTGTTGTGGCCGCGCGCAATGCGGTCGGTCGAGTCAGTGTTTGTACGAACACACTTTCAATGTTTTGATTTTTGCAAGGGCGAACTGGCCCTGATTAGAGTTGCGTTTGTACGATTAGGAATCACGCGAAAGTAGAGTCAGTGTTTGCTGCGTATTATAAAATATTTTCTAGAGCATCGCGGCTCTGATTGTTCTTTTTCCATCGCGGAAGTAGAGTCTCTTCAATTGTTCGCCGGAAATTATTCACGGTCGCGTTACTAATAATTTATATCTTCATTTTTATTTTTTATTTTTTTTTTTTAATTGCTCGATATGTCCGGTATTAGAGTCAGTGCACCACTGAAGAGGAGTCTTGGGTGTTGCTCCATAAGGAAAGAGTGTAAGTATCTTATTACTTTATTTAATTAATTTTAATTGAAATAGAATAATTTACAATTTCAATTCTTGATAATTGAGAGTTCTTCTTAATTGCTATTGCTATTGCTAATATTTTATAAAATCTAAATTCATATATAATTTTATTATATCAAAAATTGATATAATTTGCAAAATTAACCGTAATTCTTTTTTGTTTTGTTACAGATGAATTTTTTGATTTTGCCGAGTTCCTGGATATCCTGATGATGGCTTTCTTCACGACTTCCGTCTTGGTACGTCACTTAATTGCTTTTTATTAAAATAGAATAATTTACAATTTCAACACTTGATAATTGAGATTTCTTTTTAATTGTTAATATTTTATAAAATTCAATTTCATATATAATTTTATTAGAATAAAAATTGATAATTTTCAAAATTAACCGTAATTCTCCTTTCTTTGTTACAGATGAACAGCTTTCTTCACGACTTCCGTCTTCTCCTACAAGGCAGCCTCCTACCTGGTGTTTGACTGTCGGAAGAAGAGTATATCTGCGAACGGTGAGTCGCATGTTTTATGGTTCCTCTGGTGCCCAACCATGTCGTAGGACGAATGGTCCGAATCGACACGGGCTACTAGTTGTATACGTGCTTGGCAAGCATAGTGACCATGGGTATGATTATACATACCCATGAGTAGTAACATTTTTATTGTTTCATTTCATTTAGTTAGGCTAGGTCTTCTTGTACTCCGCGTTTTAATATCATTTCAATTCCACATATTCTAATAGATATTTTTGAAATATATGAATGCTCTTAAATATTCTTAACTGTGGAATTAGAATATTTTAATACCGAAACAATTTTATTTAGTTTGTCTGTAATAGAGAAGTCAAATACTATCTGACTTAATTATTGCAATGGTTCAAAGCAATATAATATTAATAGTATTATGTAATCTGTATACTGGATATACATATTAATGATGCTGTTACATTGATTTAATTACATTTTGTACACTATATATTCAAATATGATTTGAGAATTTTTTAAAATTTCATTCATTCAATAACGAAGTTTAACTTATTTGCACGTTTATGAAAAAATGAACAATTTATGTGCAAGAAGACAATTCGTGACGGGTAGATTTCCAACTCAGAGTGATCTATTTCAACACATTTTGCGTATTCTTGAAAATTTACGCTGAGGAGGGAGTCACCCGAGGATGTTTTATTAATTTTCACAACAAATTCTTGTTTCATTGCAAAGAATTCTTAATTAAAGACATTAAATTCTTTTTTATTAAAATTTTGCATTTCTTAAATTAGTGTTGCGAAAAATTTCCAGCGCGAGAGTAAATATGACGATGCACTGACTAGTATTCGGTGGGAATCCTTTTGGTTTTTAAACTCAATCCTTTTTATTATTTAATTAATCAAATTAGTTACAAGGATTCCGCGGCATAAGACCGTGAACACCATCTCTGGGAGATATACCCATGCATTACTAGGCCTTTGCAGGCGCAGCTTTAGAATACGGAATATATGAAAATATGTTACCATATTCTAAACTGTAGTCCTTTTGTCTATACTATGGGCGTCCGTCAATCTGACACCGTTGGATGCAACGTGTTGGACGGGCGGGTAGCGCTCTTAGCGAAGGGGTGCACTCTGTCCTGGCGTTACGACGTCCAGGCGGGGTGGGTGGTATGTAGCGTCTGGCGTAAGTCTAGGGGGCGTGAGACCCTTCGTTGCCAGCTGATATTAGCAGTGCACCATGTTTGCGTCATAGTTGCTCTATTTTGATTTTCAGTATTTGTTCTTAAAGCTTTATATTTACAAAGTCGAGTCATTTTTATTAAAATAGTGAAATATTAGCCCGTTAGATGTATTTGTACTAATCATGTTTGTAGATCAGGATTTTCAGATTTAACCCCTTCCGTGTTTATTGCCAAAGCCCATTCACGTGCTCAGGTGCTACTTGGATGAGTAGAGGCAATGGGCACGATGACCTAGTTCATAAAAATAATAATTAATAAGCGGCTGGCATTGTGTTAGTATATCGTGCACGACGTAATCTCCACATATGGTGTGTGTGTTTTTAGGCTGTGGAATTGCGTCGGTTTAATAACTGTTTCATTTACTTTTAATTTGAAATAATATTTTATTCAACAAGATGTACGATGAACGTATAAACCAAATGCTATTGTTATCATTACTATTACCATGATTATTACCATTACTATGAAATATTCTATATCAAAGTAGTTAATTAAATTTTGTAATTATCATTATACGCAATGATTGCTAGCCTTGCCAGACGATTTCAGTGAAAAATGGTACGTACCGTAGAGTGTGATGTGAGATGAAACTCGGGTGACGGAGGCGTCCCGGGACGTTCTCCCTAGTTTAGGCTCTGCGCCCGGGTGGAGTGTATGGGGGTCGTGGAATGAATTTTTGTGAGAATGTGATTTTGCTTTTTTTAAATATAGCGTTAGGTAGGTAGGTAGTATACCTTCTGGTGTGTGTGATAGATTGTAAGTAGGAAGGGCCGGGACAGGTTGTCACAGTCTCTTGGTCGGGTAGGCGCGATTTCGCGTGATCAACCTGTACCTGGAATATATTTGAAGAATTGACGATACGATCGATACGAACGGAGTATGCCGTTCGCCTTCGAATCTATCTGTACAATTTTTCAAATTTTTGGCGACTTCATAAGTCGTCATACGCGATCGCGATGGCACGAAACGCACAAGTTCTGCTCGAGCACGGCACGTGTGCACGAACAACGACTTATATAAAGTCCTTTTTCGTCCACGTGTCAATTAGAGTTTCGCGATTTTTCTTTTTTGTTGATTGTTTTTTTTTTTGTTTTGCGAATTTGCAAGTCTCGAGCTTTAGATATAAGTTTCAGGTGGGTGGACCGCCCGAAGAAAGAAAAGGCTATATGCCGAAGCGCCCCGACAAACTGTCTTTCAAGAGGGGAACTACTAATGATTTTGCATCCTTTTGCAAAAAAGGATGGGAAATCATTATCATTACTACTTTGTCACTGTGCTTGCCTGTAGTTGTAGTTTTGTAATTTCAGGACAAGAGGGGGCCCGTGACCCCCATGATTTTGGGCAAATCGCGTTTTCAATTTAGTGTTGCGAATATTGACCACGGTTCAATTTAGTGTTGCGAATGAATATCGATCACGGTTCAATTTAATGTTGCGTATGCATGATTATCGCGATTTTCATTTAGTGTTGCGAACTTTAAATATCGCGTTTCTTTCTTGCATTGCTTTAAAATGGAATTTAACTTTTCAATGTTGATTGCTTTAAGATTTTTCAGAGTTTTGCTTTTTAATGTTGATTGCTTTAGTGTTGCGAGTAAAAAATTCACGGTTTGAGAATCCCCCTTCTTTGCATTTTAATTGCATGTCTGTTAAAGATAGCGTTGCGAATGATATTAGCGCGATTGTTTCCCAGTGTTGCGACTTATAAATACGCGGTTGCTTTGCGTTAGTTTATAGAGTTCCCTGCTAATTAGTGTTGCGATAATAAATATTCGCGGTTTGCATTAGAGTTGCGATATATGATGAAATGCCCAGAAACGATCCAGTGGAGTTGCCATGGTCCATAAGGCAGCCATGGACCAGCTGCCATGATACAGCCTTGGATTGGCTGTACCCCTTTTTTAAATTAGTGTTGCGTCTTACAAAATTCGGTAGATTTGAGTAGTGTTGCGTTACAGTCCGCGTTTTCTCTTTTTTTCTTTTTTTCAGCTTAGTGTTGCGTATAATGGAGCAGCCTTCACGCGTACGCTTTTGTACATATTATATAATTAATAAAATTAGTGTTGCGAGTAAAAAATTCACGGTTTGAGAATCCCCCTTTTTTGCATTTTAATTGCATGTTTGTTAAAGATAGTGTTGCGAATGACATTAGCGCGATTGTTTCCCAGTGTTGCGACTTATAAATACGCGATTGCTTTGCATTAGTTTATAGAGTTCCCTGCTAATTAGTGTTGCGGTAATGAATATTCGCGTT